AAAATTACCTTCCGTTTTTCAGCCTTTCAGAAATTTAGCATGAAACAAAAATTCAGTTGCTGCAGGCATGTGTCTAAGTTTTTCTGATTACTTAAATATGTCAGTAATCATGATAATAGTACAGAGAAAGAAGTATTTTTATAGATTTCGCCGCATATTACTTGTACCACAAGGTTGGTCGAGAAAAATTTCAGTTAATTCAGCCAATTCAAACACCCATAACCTAAATCATGCTCACATATTATGTGAGCTGTTTACACAATTTGAATAATACAGGGCAGAGTTGTGCCATCAGGCGAAGTCGTTTGGCCCCTGCTGGTCAGCTTTGTAATCGATTAAGCAATGACAAGAAATATTGGCTATCGCAAAGGAAGAAGACTAGATGTAAATTCTACAACTCATAACTTCTGCCATTCAGCTTCACCGACTCAATCACTAATTAATAAATTTTCATTGAAATTTCATCCTGGCAGAAGCAACAGCCTCAGGAATCATCTAGAGCTGACGCAAACGGCTCAACGTGGAAATCTCAACACAGAGTCACAGTCTGAGGACGTTTTATTGCCTACGTCTCCCGTCAATCGTAAAAACTTTACGGCGTGGAAGGTCTAAGGCACGAAAGTGGTACGTGCTCGGTAGGATCAATTCAACTGGTAGTCAGCTTGCCTTCAGCTACCTGTCATGTTATTTTGTGAAGGAAGTTTGTCTTGCCAGCCTCTCCCCTGATATATTGATCATATGCTCAACCATTGCAATTGTGATCTTTTGACCTGAAGACGAAATGGCTCAGATTCGAAGTTACTTTGAACCGCCTTGTTCCTTGTCGAACCTTGTCGAACCGCCTCCTGGCACTATCGGTACTTCAAGAAAACACCATTTCTGTCGCTTGCATTGAGATTGCATTTATTCGGTGATTATTCACCCTCAATAACCATAAGTGAACGTAGTTCATTGGTAGTTCATTGGCGGATTCGATGATAAATAGCCTCGTCCTAGTACTCAGCTTGTTCTTAATCACCTCGGACTGGTTCAGTACAGGCGGCGTTACTGTGCTGGCCAGACCGATTCACGTGATTATTTCCAGATCAACTTTTTTGCCACTCGTCAATGCTCACTCGATATACTTGAACTTCTCCGCATGCTCCAGCGCACTCTGAGAACGCACAGAGCACAGTGAGTGAGCCTCTTTATGGTACAAGACTCTTATGCTGCTGGTATGATCCTCATCTGAGCCCAATTGCATGCGGCAACCAATTTGTCAAGCGAACTTTGAAAGTTGGCACGAGATAAAGCGAATATTACGAGTTCAACTGCAAACAGAGCGTGACTCAACGGAACCTATCCAGCTGTGACGTTTTTCCATCGGAAACTTTGTCTACCAATTGAATCTATGGAATTCATGAACTTCAAGAGACGCCACACAGCCGTTTGACGAAAACCAACGTATAATGTGAAAGTTCATAATTTGCTTGCTGTTAGCTTGAACATAAGCCCTTGAACAATCGTACGAGAATTTGCTGACTCCATCACCTGGCCATTCTCTATTTTAGCTACATTGTCCACAGTTACGATTAAAGTACATTTGAGTATCCACTGCCTTTTTCAAGTGTAAACCTAATTCTCCTACTTCCAATGAAACGGGCATCAATTATGCATTCAATCAACTACTTTTATAGCGTTCTGACAATTGCGTAGCTTTGGGACAAAGTGTATTGTGAATCTGCCCTTGCGAAATCACGCTCTGTGCATAAATACAACGTGAATGAGTGAGACAACATGAGAAAACGGACCTTCGATTTTGAGAACTTCAATACTTATAAAGGCAATGCCTTCATTGTGATCTATCGTCTAATTTGTTACACTCAGTCGACACTCTGTCAGAAATACGTAAAAAGTACATTTTCTCTGCTTTCCGATAAAAAATACCATAGTATAATCCCTTGTAAAGGATGATCGTGCAATATGTGCGTGGTATGATTGAGCAATATATGTGTGGTATTCAATATATGTGGTTTGACGACAAATAACATGTCAAAACACGAATATTTGTTATGCTGTTATGAGGTGCTTAAAGCTCTTCTAAAGAGAACACCGGATATGAATCTATTAACGTCTGTTAACGACAATTTGGGGCAATCACAAACGGTTTAAAACGTACGTGGCTGTGAATTCACATTTGATCAAACAGAGTTTTCGAATGGTAATATGAATTTTCTAGAACATTAAGGAGTATAAACAAGATTAATCGCGAAGTAGAGAAGGAATCCCATAGATTCAATGCCTCACAGAAAGATTTTCAGCTTTTTCCTGTTTTCTTCCGTGTTCTTGCACCACTTTTGCTCATAAGGATTCTGGCGTCCAGAGTAGCTTAGGCTATTTATTCAAGTAATGTAACTCGATATAAATATTGCCATACTTCATATCATGATTCGCCACTAATATCTATTTACAGATGCTTCAGCATTCTTGACCTTCTTTTCAATATGTACCGTAGCCATAAAAATCGATTCTTCTGCTTTAAAAAATAACGAAGGGTGATTTCTGATCAATTTTTGCTCGATCTATTTGTGCAATCTGCGACAATATCACGATAAGTGCTAGACAGATATTAAAAAGATGAATGGAAAATATGTCCAATCTTAGCAGATCCAGCGTCTTGAATACCTCCCGGAACCCAACAAAAACATACAGTAGGAAATCTGCATTCATGATCTTTTGCATTCATTGATGATGACCAGGCGAAAGGCTAATGCCAGTTAAGAAATCCAATACTGCATATGTGAAGCCGAAAATCTTCGGGGAAATGCAAGTGTATTGCATAAGTGTATCAAACTATAGTTTCATTTCAGCGGTAAATCAAAGTGTTTGCTTGAAATACTTAACTGAAGCATGCCTAGATCACATGTGCAAAGTTGACTGACGATGAACATTTACTTAACCTGGGTCGAAGTCACATTATTCCCCACGGTGTCTCTCCGACGAGAAACTTGTTGGTCCAGACAGTCAATTAATCATGGCACCGAGATACCTCTAACGGGAGTCGATATCAATTGTATCTGAACAACATACTACCAGCCGGCATAACGATCATGGCTGACTACATGTCTAGATGAGAGTGATTAAAGTATGTAATTCAAGAAACCAAGATGAGACTAACAACATTTAGCTGGCCTTGACCTCCGAAACATATTGAAAATGATTGATGTACCTTGCGATACTTTGATTAGACGTCGCCATTCAACCAACCAATGCCTATCAGTAAAGTAAAGGTATGAGATCTGCGAAAGTACCATTGCCTTTGATCACTGTTTTCACGACCTAAGTCACGGAAACTTGCGAAGTCTGGCAATTAATTCTGCGCTGTAGTCATTGGCATCCGGAGAAGGTGACAAATAAGGAAAGATGTTTCTACATGGATCAAGTTTTTTGCGTACACTTGCCCAACGCCTCGCAAATATATTTTCAATTTCCTCAAAGCAATGCATGAAGTAATGACTTTTGACACTCAGGTTAAGGTCGCACAAATATCCTTGCACACAGTGGTATGAATTATTTAGCAGTGGTCTACTCCTCTATGAGTCTGCTGTCGCCAACGCGAATGAATGGCAATCGTGTGGTTTCGTCGGTGTAAACTGCCAGCCCTTAGCCGCAGCTTCAGAGTTAACGGCGTAATTAAGAAAATCGAAAAGCACTTTATCGTAAGCAGATTATAGAGACGAAGAACCTTTAACAGAATCTGAAGTTACAGAACGCACTGGTACAAAAAGTTCAAAGATTGTGAGGAGAGCTTGCAAAGCGTGGCTGTGTCGTACTGAAGATTTTCGCGACGCCGCTATCGCGGCTGTTGAACAGAGTAACTACCGAATGAAAAATTGATTTGCCGACGGTGGAGTGAGGGTGATGTTATCAATGGTATACCAACGATCACTTCGTACTCCAACGAAGCGACGGCGACCGACGTCGCAAATTCTCTTCACCAAACGACATCAGCCTCCTCTGTAATACTTCGTCGAGGAGACAAGTCACAGAAATGATGAAAGTGATAATAAGCAGAAAGTGACCGTCAACTCTTGTCGGTGGTTTTACAGAAACAAGGTGGAAGCAAGGCCAGACCAACCATAGCCGACCTCTGATCTCAGGGCGATAATCAACTCTGGAGTGAATCACAGTCATATGGCCGTTTTCTATATAGCGATGAACTACGGCTGAGAAGTCAGTCAAGTATACACAGAAAGGCATCTGCAGCGAGGAAACGTGGCCCTAGTCACCGCAACGAATCATCTAGGGTGCGAACTAAGTTAACAATCGCTGTCCTAGTCTTTGTCGCAACGTCTCTTTTGCAATGAGGATGGTCCCATAAACCTGGGAAGTGAAGCATTCTGTTCTGCCGCTTTCTGACACAAGAATGTTCGATCTTTTTTCTCTTTGCCTCTTTGTCTCCTTCGTTCTCAACAGTTCTTCGAGAAAGAGTGTATCAGTGGTGCAAAGACAAGACAGTAGCGCCTTGAATCGACAAGACAGATTGCCCAAGCTCTGGCCGCTGCGGCTGTTGCCCGCTTCTTTGGCCGTCATCCTCCTGCTGCGGTTCGGCGTGTGTTCTGGAATCACAACCGCGAATAGAAGGCTGAGCGAGTTAACGAACGTTCGGCGACGGCGGCAGATCAGCAGGAGGAAATTGAATTTCCATATGTATGAAAGCTAGATAATAGCATTTATTAGCGGTTGCCAGTAGCAGGGCTGAGGACGTCCCGATAGTAAATCAATCAATCATATTGGCAAATCTAATTGCGCGCATTCATTGTATTTCTACGTGTTGTTTGACTGAATTGACCATAAGCGAGAATGTTTCATAAACCAGAGTCCGTTCTGTTCCAGTAGTGCGGTGTCGGTGTGAATCGGCTGCTCGATGCAGCCCATCGGACGGACATCGTCTAGACCGAAACCGCCTATAGCAACCAAGCAAATGACGGCGCCCACAGATCGCGCCTGTTCGCACACACAGCCGTATCCGAATCCTCCATTTCACTCTCCCATTGGATTCACTCGCCGTCGCAACCGCAACCGCATCCTCATCCGCATCCGCAACTGCAATTGCAGCCGCAGTCGCGGAAGTGCATGCATCTAGCTGTGCTGACTGTCGCGCGGGCGACAGTGATTTTGGTTTGTCTGCCGACCAATTTCTTGCCAAAGACATAGTCATATACTCAGCCTTCGCCTTGCAGCTGCTGTGCCGTCATTCAGCATTAATATCTCGCTGTGTCCCCTGCTGCCGCTGCAACCGCCAGCCATTGCCATCGCTCTCGCCCGTCGTAGTTGACGAACGACAAGCTAGTCGTCGTCGACCATTCGACCACACGACCATTCGACCATTCGACCACCATGCACCCGGCGCAGAACGTGTTTGGCGTCATCAGTCAGATCTACACGGCCGGTCGCGTGGTAAGCGACCACAGGGTGCGACTTCAGGGTCTCAGCTCGAAGTGCTTGCAAACACTCTATGCCGGTAGCTTCATCGTCTATCTGCTGAACCTGGTTGGAGACTGGGTGCATACATACTATGCATGTCGCGGCCTGACCGTCACCTTTCCGTTACGCAACTGGACTGTGGTGGTTATGGTGGTGTGCTGCGTGCTCGGCAGCGTCTTCAACTTCTTGCTCGTTCATTTGTGCATCGAGAACGCCTTCCAGCGACCGGCTCCTGTCGAGCCATTGACCGGCGGCTGTCAGTTGCTATGCTTCCGGTTGAAGAACTGTGTTTTCGACTTCGACTGTTTTCGCATCAGCTTCTTGATCATGATGTTCGAAGACGCGCCGATGACCTTCCTGAACTTTTGGTTAATCAGCAGCTGTATGGTTGCTTATCCGAACCAGACCATCTGGCCATTGCTATGTGCGTCCGCGTCCACTGTGCTCAGCTTACTGTGGAAGTTGGTGATGCTCGTATTGGCTTTCAGGTACTTGCGGTTGCACCGAAAAAGCACTTACGACCCAGTTCTCACTTTCTCGGCCAACCGCAGTCACTCTACATACGGTGCTGGTAAAAGTATGCTTTCTTATCTACTGCTTTTGCTTTTCTTCGCTCTAGCTGTCGAACTCTACATGCAGGCGACGTCACGTGGACGTGAACTGGCAAATTACCGAAGCTGACTCACGGTGTACACATTTAGGGCTAAAACATGTGTCAGAGATAGTGTTGGTCATCTTGGGAGAGGTGCGCCTATTAATTACGATAAACTCTAGAAAAGAAATGCAAAAGTGAAAACTAGCAAAAATGAAGCATGTACTAATGCTTAAATTAACCAAAAACTATGATTTGAGTTATAGGAATGGACGTGCTTCATGTTAGGGAATGAAGTGTTTAGTTTTAGACTGAAGGCGTTGATTCAGAGACAGCATGCGCGGTTGATGAGTGATCATCGGTTTCACACCTGCCATCATTTATGTATCCATTTCATCTCTGAAAAAGTTGTTGCTGTTCTCGTCGGCAAGTGAAAACTTTTCGAGGTTTGAAGTGATACTGGGCATCATAACAGAGTTTTTATGAACATTGCATATGGCTGACTGAAAGTGAAGCACATTCTTATGAATCAACTGAAAATGATCTGCCAACTAAATAAAAAGCTCATTCTTTAAACTGACATATTTCCATGAAATACAAATGGTGTACGTCTAGCTCGGCGCATAATAAATTTTGTCTTTCAAACAGGCAATATGTCTAGTTAACACATTTACTACATCTTTGTTAGTAGAGGCTGCAAACTACGAAGTGACGTTTTGATGTTTAGCAAAATGGAAAGGGTTAGAAGTCAGTGATACATTAAAAATTATTAGTTTCGTTGAAAAATTACCGTAATCAATATATTCCCTAATTGTCAAAAATGGTAACTCTGCGACGTTTCGGAAGCAAGCCATAAAATTTGCGAAATCGTTGAATTAAAACCAAGTTCTTCAGTATAAAATGCTAGCTCAAATATCAGTTTCAACAAAATAATGGGCTCATGCATTCGTAATGAGTATATAATGGGTGCGTTCTGTGTTGACTTTAGATTTCACGCGAAAATAATTAATAGTTATTCAGGTTAGCACTGTAACTCAATCGGATAATATTCTTCCATGGGAGATACGGTATGACGCGCGGGTGCATTCCTACTTTATATGATAAACTAGGACGGTGCCAAAAATCGTTGTAGTCTGCTTTGTACTTCAATAATTCTTATTAACAAAATTGTCTTACGGAGTACGGTGAGTTCTGTTCCAGCCCGTCGTAAACCGCTAGTTAGGCTACTTTCTTAAGGTTCACGAGAAATACTTGACCTGCATACTTTGATCGCAATCTTTAGCATAAAAAGTGAGTTAAAATTTGTACCTTTGAAGGCTATATGCCAAATCGCTGTATGATTGTTAAGTAAGGAATAGTAAACAGTAATCATCAGTAGTCAATGAGCATAAACAGGTTAATAACGCATAAATGAGTTTAATTAAATCCTCGATAGAAAGTGAGCGATTTCATGTTGAGTGGTTGTGCGCCTTATGTGATTCAGTGTTCCTGGAACTGGATGTATGCAACACCAAGTCTTCTGTTAGCAGTTGTATCCAAAGGTAAGTAGGTAAGAAATAACATTTACTGGACATTCATTCAAGTTTGTCAACAGAAGACACATAAAAACGAAAAACTAAACAAGGTCATTAGCAGTTATAGGAAAATATTTTCGATGTGGATCCAGCAAAATACTGTTGCACGCGCTGTCCAGAGAACCAGTACATGTTTGAGATTACCAGTGGAGTCTCTACTTGCCTGTTCAGAGAAATCATAGACTTTCGACCGACATTAGTGTTTGAACATGTGCCTTCTTCACGTATCCAATTAGATAGTCAAGGTTGAATTAATTTGTTTCCCAATGTTAGGTAAAGTCCACAGTCAATCATTGTCCTTCAGCAATTATGATATACGAAGCTTCGATTTCTAACCTGCAATCAGTTATTTGCATTGCTTTAATCTGTGACGTAATCGAGTAAGTAAGTTGGGCAATTACAAGGAGCCACCAAATGTAAGCCATTGTTTTCTGATGTCATCTAAAGTTTATTGGCTTGGTGAAACTCTGCTTCCTCTTGGAAAAGACAGCGACTGAAACAGCCTTATAATCTCGACCCATTATTTTTGCCTTATTTAATATGGCGT